ATAGCAGCTAGGATTGCTATTAGCTCTGCTTTGTATAATGAGGGCCAATTAGAGATTTTGGCAGAAAAGCTATTAATGGTTTAGTCACCATCAGTTTGGACCCAGCCTACTCCTATGAAGCAGTTACTAGTACCTATATCTGTTACTGAGCCATCTGTGTAGAATGTGAATTTTTGTGTATTAGTATTGATTGAGGTCGGTGGCTTTTGTTATGCAGCTTTGTTTAGCTGTGTTTGCATGATAAACCGATGTGTTCTCGGTTCCCGACTCCCGTTATCGGGCAGGGTTGTAGCACGTGGCGTGTAACCCTGACCACTCTCCTCTGTCTTTTCGATCTGTTGACTTTTTATCAACATGCAAATAATAAACTACTCTATTGCTACTTTATCTATTGATTGTTGTGTATTGAGTTATGTGTTATTAATGACAGAAATGGGAAAGCTCTGCTCGAGTCGTTCGATTTAGACGGCATTATCAATGCAAATGCAGATGAGGTACATACGTACGTACAAGAAGGGACGTTATTCAGTAAACTTTTCAGGGTAAAGTGGGCTTTTCATTGATTTACTTGAAATTTGAAGTTTTAACTCTTTTTATAACTTTTACAAAAAATTTCCATTGCGTTTTATCTAATCTATTTTATCATATAAAGTTTCAACATAGGAATTGAAAAATGTCATAGAAAACAGGCTGGGGTTATAAAAGGTGGTCATCCAAATTTACATTATCAGCAGATTTTCGCAAATAATTATTTTATATTTCCTTTTTCATTTGGATTTTCCCAATAATCTTCATATGATTTCTTTTTAATGTGAATTCGAAAGGTGAAGGTTGATAAAAATTACTTTGGATTTTCACGTTCAATTGAGCAGCCTTTGATGCAGTCTCACCTGATTCTGTCATTATTAATTTTTTGTGTTCAGATTATATATTACATTTTTGGTTAATGTAAGAAACACGGGAGCATGGTTACGTGTACATGCCTTACTTGGGTCACGGTACAATACGTACGAAAACTGAAAATTTTAGCCGATCACTTTTGCCAGCCAATCATGTTTCCAGAAACAACAGACTTTTAACTGCAGCATTCATCTATTCAAACAAATAAAGACTAAAAATAGAATTTAAAAGGAAATTGAAAAAAAAATTTACTAAAAAAAAAAAATTAAAAAAAGCATATACGTAGATATAATACCGATATACAGTAAAATATCCCACCCGGATCTAAATAAACTTTCATTATACCTTTTATATGTTATAAGTGGAACATTATAATAAACTATATATAATAATATCACTATTATCGTTATCGATTTTCAGATGATTATTCCGGCATGCATTACGTATGTTAATTGTCCGAAGATTTTTAGGATCATAAATTTCCTGCATGTCCAACTCTAATATTATTCCTCTTCGCAGACAGAAATCCACTTAGCATGAAACAGATTCAAATCCTAAAAATCAGAATGCTAACTGGATTATGAAATTTCTTGGCTTCATGAATTTTCGGGCACTCGTACTTTAACGTATCAGTATTATCATAACTATGTATTTTATAGTATCAATTGGATTTACGAATTTCGTTCCAAGGGATGATATGGGACATAACTTGTTCCTCTATGAAATCGGTTTATTGTATAAGATCGTGGAAAGATTAAAAATTAATACGACTATACTATATAATTAGAGGCGCTTTCCCCTAAAAGAGATAGCAGAATTACAGTATATGGTATAAGTACAACGCGCAGCTTATACTATTGCAATGAATGCGTTAATGAAACATTAAATTTGTATCAACTATTCTTAAATCAGTAGTGACCACCCGAGAAATAGTCATTAAATTTTTTGGGATAACACAAATTCTATAAGGATGGATCTTCCAAATTTAATAATATTTTTTTGAAATCGCATACGCATATAATCGTGGGAAATAAATAACAAATATAGCCTATTTCAGTATTTGATTTACGTAATCGCCAATTAAATTAAAGTAAACAAGTAATGCTTGGTTATTTATCAGGTTAGACCCAATAACAAACCGAAAATAGAAAATAAATCACGAAATTATGCATTTATCAGATAATCGATATAAAACAAACTACTCACCTTTTTTTCTTTCAATACTCTTCTTGCTTTTCTCTGCATTGAAGAGCGATATAAACCAAAAAAAAAATTTTTTTTTCTTTTTTCAAGATGACTTTTAGAAATAAGTTATGTTTTTATCTTAATGGTACAAGTGTCGAAATTGATAATCCTGACCCAGATGCTACCTTACTTAATTATGTTCGGTCTATTGGACTTACTGGGTATATATGCTAAATTTTTTCTTCTAGTTATGAGCGAAATTAATTAAATTTGTTTATAATTTATTATTGAAATCTTTTTAGAACAAAGTTAGGATGTGGGGAGGGTGGTTGCGGTATGTTATAATGCTATTTTATTAAATAAAGTTTAATTTAAATACTTTATTAATTCATTATTATTATTATTATTATTATTATTATTATTATTGGTATTATCTTTCTTTCAAAAGGCTCTTGCACTATAATGATATCTTCTTATGATAGAACACTTGACAAGATTTCTCATATTTCTGCTAATGCTTGTTTGACACCATTATGTTCTGTTGATGGTAAACATGTTATTACAATTGAAGGAATCGGAAATGTTAAAAATCCTCATCCTATTCAGGTATGAATTTTAGTGTATATAGTAGTAATACTACTATATATTGATACCATTGATACTACTGTAGTATCAATAGTATCAATTTGTGTTTTCGAGATTTTTCTTAATGCTATAAATCAATGATGCAATAAATCAATAGGAGCGTTTAGCTTTGTTGCATGGGTAAATTCATCTTTTTATATCGTAATTGAATTAATAATTTAAATATTTGTTATAATTATAACTGATTTTGATTATTTAGTTCGCAATGTGGATTTTGTACACCGGGATTTGTAATGTCTCTCTATAGTTTATTACGTAATAATCCCAATCCATCTGAGGAAGAAGCTGAAGCATGCTTTGATGGTAATCATAAATTTCTTTCATACATTATATCTATATCAATAATAATTATTAAATTTCATGATAAAATATCGTCATTAGGTAATCTTTGCAGATGTACTGGTTATCGCCCTATACTGGACGCTGCAAAAACGGTAAATAGTAATTAGTAAATATATATTTTATGTGTTGATAAAAATGTATTGAACTTTATTTTTTCAATAGTTTGCGAATAATTCGTGCGTAGAAACTGATGGCCTAGATGAAAACCATGAACCTCAAGAGGTATATAAAAGAACATAAATAGAAACTTTATATCTTTATACTGTATATTCCTGATTATATCTTTTGATTTAATTGTCTCGCTTTAGAATCTAGGATGTGGTAAAGCTGATTGTTGTAAATTGAAAAATATTGATAATGCCGATACTACTTTCAACCATAATTTTTCACAAGTAAGTCATTTTTTAACTTGTAAAACCATTATCAATTTCAAATTTATCTCATTTAAATTCATTTATAATATAAAGATAAATTTCAAAAAATATGATTCAACTCAAGAATTAATCTTTCCTCCATCGTTAATGAAATATGTACCGGAACCTTTGCATTTTAGTAGTAATAAAACAAAATGGTTCAGACCTGTTAATCTGAATCAATTATTATCACTGAAAGCAGAGTATCCAAATGCTGTTCTAGTATCTGGTAATACTAGAATTGGTATAGAAACAAAATTTGAGAATATAAAATATGATGTTCGAATTTATGTGGGTGATATACCAGAATTGAAATCTTGGGAATTTAAAGGTAAATATTTTTTTAATATATAAAAAATATTTGATTTTTAATTTCACTCAAAATGTTAAAATATTTAACTATTATTTAAATCTAGAGGATGGATTGATTCTTGGTGCAAATATGACTATTTCTCATGTCCAAACTGTTTTAAAAGAAGCGTGCAATTATTACAAGGTTTTAGAAAAATAAATTTAAAATATTATTTAACAATGAATTTATTAAATTTGCTGAAACTATATTTATTTTTTTTTTTATATATATATTTGAAGCCTCATCAAATTCAAACATTTGAAGCACTTTCAGAAAGTCTCAAACGACTTGCTACAAATCAAATCCGCAATATTTCCACACTAGCTGGAAACATTATTGCTAACTCTTCGACTTCGGATTTAATTCCGCTTATCCTTTCATCTAAATCTATATTTTCACTTAGTTCTATACAATCTACTTCAATAAAAAGTCGACCTATTCCATCTATATCTTTTTGGACAGGATATAATCAAGATTGTCGTGAAAGTTCTGAAATTTTGGAAAAAATTTATATACCATGTTCTAATCATGGTCAATATGTTAGAGCTTATAAACAATCTAAAAGACATTATGGTGATCGTGCAATTGTTAATGCTGGTTTGTCAATATCATTGGATCATAATGCTCATGTGCAAGAAGCTTGTTTTGCTTTTGGAGGAATGAGTGGAGCTGTTGTCAGAGCTCCAAATTCTGAAAATTTTATTGTGGGTAAAAAGTGGGGTGAAGAAGATGTATTAAAACAATTAAATGAAATATTATGTGAGGTATACATAAATTTTCGTTTAAACAATTATATACATACTGTACATTTATTTATTTATTTAGCTAACTAACTAAAATTTTTACATTATTTATTTATTTTTGTTTTTTTTTTAATGTGATAGGAATTTCAATTAAGCTTTTCTGTTACTGGTGGAATGGCAACTTATCGTAAAACATTAGTAATCGGATTTATAAATAAGTTTTGGTATGAAGTTATAAAATCTGCAAACATAACAGCGTTGAGCCCTGATATAGAAACTTCTCTTGGAGAAATCAAACGCAGTGTTTCTAAAGGTAGTCAAACTATAGGACGGCCAGAGTAAATATATACATATTTTTTCAATATTCAACATTTAATATAGTAGTGACAGTAAATTAAAAATAAGAAATTAGCCTAGTAATGAATGTGAACTTGTGGTACATTTAGCTAATTGGTTCAAAACTAAAAAGAATTATACTTAAAATTATTAATAGGAAAGGCAATAAAATTGTTGGTAAACCAATTTCTCACGTATCTGGCATGAAACAAACAACTGGTGAAGCGGTATATGTTGATGACATGCCAAGAATCGAGGGTGAATTATACGCTGCTTTTGTTACATCACAGAAAGCTCATGCTAAAATATTAAAGTAATTTCGGCCTTTTTTTTTTTTTTAACAAATCTATGATTTAACTTAATTGTAATCGTAATTGTAATAATTGTTGTAATGTTATTTTTTATTATATATTTTTTTTTAAATAGTATTGATCCAACTCAAGCATTAAATGTACCTGGTGTAAAGGGATTTTTTTCTGCAAAGGATGTACCTGGAAAAAATTGCTGGGGATTAGTTTTACCAGATGAAGAAATTTTCGCATCTAAAGAAGTTTTTTTCGTTGGTAAGTTGAATTTATTTATTTATTTATTTATTATTATTGTTGTCTAAATATTATTAATGCAATCATTATTCGAGATGTTAATTTTGTTTGTTATATATAGGACAAGCAATTGGATTGATAGTCGCTGAAACAAAAAAAATTGCACAAGAAGCTAAAGATTTAGTGAAAATCGAGTATGAAGAATTACCTCATATTATAACTATTGATGAAGCAATTGAACAAAATAGTTATTATCCAGTAACTCCTCAACTTGCACGGGGTGATGTAGAAAAAGGGTTTCAAGAATCCGATTATATTTTCGAAGGTATTTAATGTACAAGAATGAATATATAAGACATTAAAGAATTTTTTTTCATATTACTAACTGTAATGCTTAATTTTATTATGCAGGTGAAGCAAGATCAGGTGCTCAAGGTGAATTTAGGTTTTTAAAATTTATCCGTAATATGTTAGTTTTATTTTCACAAATTAAATTTAAACTATATTTTTTTTAATTAGAACATTTTTACATGGAAACCAATACTGTATTGGTAATTCCAAAAGAAGATGATGAATTCGAAGTTCATTCGAGTACCCAAAATCCAACTTCAGTTCAAACAAGAATTGCCGAAACACTTGGTATTCCAGCTAATAAAATAGTTAGTCGAGTAAAAAGAGTAGGAGGAGGTTTTGGTGGAAAAGAAACAAAAAGTTTTAATATATCATCAGCAATAGCAGTCGGTGCTTGGCATCTTAGAAAGCCTGTTAGATGTATGTTAGATCGTAATGAAGATATTATCATAACAGGACAAAGGCATCCTTTCTTAGGAAGATGGAAAGTTGGTTTAACTAAAGAAGGAAAAATTTTAGCTTATGACTTGAAGGTATTAATTTTCATAAAACTTCAACTTTTTTTTTTTTATTTATCTTAAGTATTTTTATAACCTTTTGTTATAAATTTATTTCAGTTATACCTTAATAGTGGAGGAACATCAGATATGAGCATAATTATAGCTAATTGTGCATTACAAGCTTCTGATGGTTGTTATTATATTCCGAACGTACAGTTTGTTGGATATCCTTGTAAAACCAACATTCATTCACACACAGCATTTAGAGGATTCGGAAAACCTCAAGCAGTGTTTGTTACCGAAAGCATGATGATTGATGCTGCTGAACGTATGGGCATTGATGTTGATGAATTGAGGGTATGTAATTTATAAGATCTCATATACAGTATATGTTGTGTTTATTACTTTAATACAATATTCTTCTTTCTACAGGAGAAGAACTTTTATATGGAAGGTCAAAAAACTCCTTATAATCAAACAGTGGAAAATTGGTGTTTACCCTCAGTTTATCAGCAAGTCAAAGAATTTAGTGAATTTGAAAAACGAAAGAAAGAAGTTGAAGAATTTAATTCTAATAATAAATGGCGTAAAAGAGGTTTAGCACTTATGCCAATCATGTTTGGGATCGGTTTTCCTCTCCCGTTTTTGAATCAAGCTGGAGCTTTAGTACATATTTACACCGATGGAAGCGTTCTCATAAGTCATGGTGCATATTTTTTTTGTTTATTATATTTATATGAATGCTTGCATGAATTTATATGATAATTACCATGTTTTTTTAAAAATTAGGTGGAGTTGAGATAGGACAAGGGCTTAACACAAAGATGTTACAAATTGCTTCTGAAGCTTTAGATGTTCCTTTGAACACAGGTAAAATCTTATTAATTGCATCTTTAGTAGTGTAATATAAATTATATAGTTATCTAATATTTTTAATGCTTTCTGCAAAATATAGTTCATTTAATGGAAAGCGCCACAAATATAGTCATTAATGCATCACCTACTGCTGGAAGTACTGGTAGTGACCTTAATGGATTTGCCGTTCATAATGCATGTAAAATTTTAGTCGAAAGGTTAAAACCATATCGTGAGAAAATGCCAGATAAAAGTTTTCAAGAGGTATTTAAAATATTACTTTATTAAATACAATAACTTTTTTGATAAGTAATACTTAAAATTCCAATTTACTTTATTTAGATTGTTAGTGCAGCATACCATGATAGAGTAAATTTATCCGCAAATGGATTTTATAAAACTCCTGATCTCGGTGAAAATATATTTCCCTATTTTACTACGGGAGCAGCATATACAGAAGTTGAAATCGATACATTAACTGGTGACCATACAATTTTAAGAACAGATTTATGTATGGATATTGGTAGAAGTTTAAATTATGCAATAGACGTTGGACAAATTGAAGGAGCTTTTATACAAGGTATTGGATGGTGTACTAATGAAGAAACCTTACATTTTCCAAACGGGAGTTTGTACACTACCGGATCTGAGCAATATAAGATACCCGGGGCTAGGTTTATTTACTTTCTTTTTTTTTTATCTCCTTTTTAATTTATTTTTATGTGAATCCTAAATTTGATGTGTTTTTAGGGATATACCCCAAGATTTCAGAATATACACGTATGAAGGTGCAAAAACATCTAAAATAAATTCAATTCATAGTAGTAAAGGAATTGGTGAGCCACCATTACTTTTAGGATCCAATGTTTATTTTGCTATTAGAGAGGCTATTAAAGCTGCGAGGTATTTTAATTTTCAATGTACTTTTTTTTAATGATTTATCTGATAATTTATCATTTATTCATTATTTTATCTATTTTTTTTTTTTTAATAAAGAAAATGTAATGATAACAATACTCCAGTGGCTTTTAGAATACCCGCAACACCCGAAAAAATTCGAATTGCTTGTGATGATGAAATTGTGAGAAAATGTAAGACTGAGAAAAAAGATGGCGAAGTTCCATGGGTTATTGAACCTTAGATTCAATTTCATGATTGCATTAATATAGCTTTTCTTTGTTTTAAAACCATACTGCGACAGCTTTATAAAAAGATGATCTACTGCAGTTGGAAGATTTTAAAATATTTATATATATGTCTTTTTTAACCTCTGATAGATATACAATGCCAGCGTAAAGCTATTCACTATTTCTATATAAGAATTAGAAAATGTTTATGTTGATATTTTGTGTTATATTCTATGTAAATATTCTACGCTGGTAATATGTATATTAACAATTGAGATTGTATTTATTTTTTATTCATATAATTAAACCTGTTATTTATACATCTTTAAAAGTTTCATTTAACAATTCTGGGTAGCCGCCAATTCTGTAATTGAAATTTTGCATATTCGTACTGCCTGTTAGAAAAATTTTGTAAGATACTTTCATATAGCTAACATTAATCAATCTAATTAATCTAATTCTCTTATTTTTTAGCAAATAAAGATGATTTATGTATACGAATTTTCTATTGATCCCCTTTCAAGCTAATGAGCGATTTCATATAATTTAAGCCAATTTCGTGGAAAATTAATTTCAGTCTACAAAAAATGCAAAACTGATATATATGCATCCGTTTTACTTGTGCAAATAATTAATTTTGACATTTAGCTTCGAGATTTTACTTTAATTCGAAATCAGAAACTTGAACATTAATTCTAAAACATCCTATTCGTGAAAGATTGACAAATAAAGTTTCTAAATACACAGATAAAGTTTTTGTATTTGAAACTACTACCTTCTGCGCTCTGACAAAAATTTATTTACAAATTTCGCTATAAACCAGGCATATTGGCAATCACTTCCTAACCTTAACGTAAGATATTATTTCTTTGTGCATTGAGGAGTTTCATAAATGAAAACAAGTAAGAACTTTTTAAAAATTAAATTGGTGAATACGGATGTTAAAAATAGGAGTGCTTAGTGACTCCACAAGATAAAATTTTTATTTTTGTTTCATATATATTCTAAAATAATTGATAATAATTGTCGCATACTGAAAATTGGGGTCTCGATTTGTAATTAAAAACCTTGTTAAAATCCATATATTGGGGTGTTTCATACCAAATGATCTACTATCATAGTGCAACATGTATAATCAAATTCGATAGTTAGGATTTTTTAATGTGAAAATTGGATGTGTTCGGAAATATTTTTGGCATAAAAAAATTTTTTTTGATTTAACGCATTTATTTTAACACATTTTTATTTATTATTTATTTTTTTTTCAATAACTCTTGCAAAATAGCTTTAGCCATGCTCTCACCAAACCTTTCCTCTGCCTTTTTAGTTATATTATTCCTTTGCTCTTTTCAAATGGCTTTTAAATCTTCATAATCAAATCTTGTTTCCAGTTTACTTGGACTAGAGAGTAAAAGCCTTGCTTCTTTTACTTTGTTAGCCATATTGGGGTGAGTTTTTATATTATATTTGTTGAACATTCCCTCTAATTGTTGCTGATGAACTATTATTAACTAAACTCTATGTTTTACAAAGTTATATAAAAGAGGAAAGTTAGAAAGTTCATGTGAACTGGATGCTGAAAAGATAAGAAACTGCTCTAAAAATTTAGAATTGTTTAGTGTATTAAATAAACCAAATGATAAAATACTTCCTTCTAATTTATCTTTTTTTAGCTGTTCAGTATAAAGAAGCTTTTTTTCAGTTGTTTCAACATTTTTTTTTTTTTTTTTGAACCCGAAATTACAGGATGCTAGGAAGTATGCTTTATTAGGTCATAATTTGTATAACTACATGTTTTATGTGATGATTAAATATTACTATCTAGAGATCAAGTGGTGGAGTATTAATTTGCTAGCTTTATCTCCACCTTTTGCTAAGCTTTTTAAGGTTCCTATTTCTTTCTTTATCCTGCTTGTAATGATATGAGGAATCATGGGTTTTGGAATGGCACCTTGCTTGGGTATAGAGGTACCATATTTCATAGACTGCTGTGAAATGCAGCCACCACTCTGCCTTACATATTTTCTTGTCTTGGGTATTAAAGGCTGTGAAAATTTCTTTTAACAACCTGAGTGGTGTTTCATTTTGCTTCTTAAAAAAACTATAAGTAAGCTTTCATATTTCCTTGCTTCTTTTGCATTGATTGCTAATGTGTTTATCATTTGAAGCTCCCCTGGACATTCTGGGCAGTCCCCCAAAATTTCCGGGGTTAGATGTAATAGATGTTAGCCAAGAGGTATTGTTTCAACATTTAATAATCAGTTTAAAAAAACATTACAAATACTTCATGCAAAGTCAAGACATATTGTCAAAGGTAAATGAGTTAGCAGCCCATACATTTTAAAAATCTTTCCTGAGCTTTTTCCAACCCAAGTTTAATATTTTGTATTAAACTTGTAAATTCTTGATTATTTAGAGTTGATTGTACTTTAGTAAGTTCTTCCTCAAAAATAATATAAGGATTAGTAATTGCTCTTTGTAATTTTCCAAGCCAAAAAAAACTTGATCAGGTAGTTTATATACACAGTATCTAGAAGAAAGATATTTGAATGTGTTATTTTCTAATACTCAAGATACATTATTGAAACTGGTTAGAAATTCAAAGAATTTTAAATAGAAATTTTATTTTTTATTTTTTATTTTTATTTTTTTTTTATATTAAGATGAGGCCTTGCTCATATCTTTATTGGGTAATTTATACAAGACATTACATAGATATATATAACAACTTCATTTGTATAACAACAAACTAATATAAATTACATGCAAGAATAAAAGCTCAGACTAGAAACTTAGAGTAAGTTAATTATCTGCAACCTAAACCTACTAGAGTGGTCAGGGCTCACCTAGATTTTAATAGTTAATATATAGTTTGTATATATATTGTGTTGGATCCACACTGTAGACCATTGATTAAATTTTAGCTGTGCTTGTCCTTTGGAGAAGCAGATACTATTATTCTCATGTAGTTGGTTAGCTATATTATAGGGGCAGTTGTATGTCAACTTTCTTTATTGATGCTTGGTGTAGTTGTGAGCTTGTGTATCTGTAGATATGATTTTGTTGTGGGATGGTATATTGTGTTGTTTTTTCCATTTTGCGAATCTGTTATATTATGGTTTCTAGATTTGTTCATGGATCTCTGCTGATATTAGAAGTAGTATTTGTATAATGATATCAGCTGCTTCTTTGTAGTGTAGGTCGAGATATTGAAGCAATTGTAATAAGTAAGCTGAAGTGAGGTCTTTTAGTGTAGTAGATAGCTGGTGAGTGTATAAAGAGGGGATGGATAGGGAGTTAAATGAGAGGTAGGACTTAATAAGGTCTACTATAGCTCTACGTTAGGTTAAAGCTAGACTGCCAAGGTATTTGTTAACTATTTGGGTGATAATAGTATCAGTTATTTGTTTAGGAGTTGGCGAGCTATGACAGCTAATCCAGTGATTTGAGGAGTCCAAAGTGCTACAAGAAAAGCAAGTGCTGGTCTGGTAGATTTTGGGCGCTATGTAGTGAAAGTGGAAGTATGTTGGGAGGTCATTAAGTAAGTATTTGATTCTGAATGCCTTCATTTGGTTTAGTTTGGGTAATGTAGTACTGGATGAAATTTTCTGGTTGTTGTTCAGATAGAGCCAGATAGAGTTCCAGTTAGTTGTTTGGATTGTGTTTTCCTATTCTGTGTTTCACTTTTGTGATGATCATAATGCTGTTGTGTATGCTCTGCAGATACTTTTGACAAATGGTCTTGTTGGTTTTTCTACATTGTATTCCTTCCACACAATAGTGAAGTGTGGGTTGTGTATATTAGTATAGTTGAACAGAAGAGTGGGTGTTGATGGGTGTTGGTGCTGTTTGGCCAAAGTGTCTGCAATGTTATTGAATCAATTATTGGAATGTGCTTGAACTTTGTATAGTGAGAGCTGGATATTAAAGACCTGAATAGCATTTAGAAATATATGCCAGATAGGCCAGTAGTTGAACTTAAAAAACTTGGATAACTTGGGAGAGATATGCAGAAGCTTGTAGTACTTAGATATAATAGATTGGAAGTCAGTAAATATATCAACATTGGCATTCTGAGATAATATAGCAATAGCAGCTAGGATTGCTATTAGCTCTGCTTTGTATAATGAGGGCCAATTAGAGATTTTGGCAGAAAAGCTATTAATGGTTTAGTCACCATCAGTTTGGACCCAGCCTACTCCTATGAAGCAGTTACTAGTACCTATATCTGTTACTGAGCCATCTGTGTAGAATGTGAATTTTTGTGTATTAGTATTGCTAAGAGTGTACTGAGTTAGTATCTTACATGTGTTATTGGTATGGAATTGAAGTGGGGCTAGAGAGTCTATAATATTTATATTTGGTAGGGGTGGCAAGGTAATAGGGTGCTTGAGTGCTGTGGAGTAGAGAAGATCTACATAGTTGGCAATGAGTTTGAGTTCTTTATTACTTGTTCTTCTACCCAAGAATTGTGTTGATATTGTAGTAGAGACTTCTAGTGTATAGTGACCTGTAAGCTGGTTAGAATTAAGCTTGCAGCCTAGGCATGGTTTGCAAAGTACTGGGGGTAGAGGGTATGGCAAATAGTGTTTAGTATCTATATTGTGCTGCCAGTGTGTTATATAAATCGTGTTGGTTTGTTTAAAGTTTTTTCTTATTTGGTTTATAATTATTTTCTCTTATTAGTAAGTGAGTATTCATGGTTTGAGTCTTTTAGGAAAAGTGTTAGATTGGTAAACAAATGGGTTGGTACCTAGTGGATGATATTGTAACTATATAGTCTGGTAATGCAGGCTGTCAAGTATAGTGTCTTCCAGAAAGGAGAACCAGCCTAGTTTTTTCTTTTTAAGAAGGTGTAGCATTCTGGGAAAAATATGTTGCCATTCAAGCAGGTATTCATTATTTGCAGAGCTTAGTTATTCCAAGTAAAGAATGTCTTTGTTTCGAAGCTGTTGTTTAAATATACTGTACTTTGGATTCTTTGTGAGTATAGCTTCAAGAGGTGTATTTCTAT